CCATCCAACTTTACCTTTTTAAAAAACACTATATAACAAAATGATATGACTAGAAAAATTCTTACTAGAAGGTAACAAAACTGATGAACATATCGTCAATGCATTCATGAAAGAAAGAAAGAAAGAAAGAAAGAAAGAAAGAAAGAAAGAAAAAGTTTTCAGTTTTACGCTTGAATATGAAAAAGAGAAAAGAACCTTCTTGTCATATGTAATTTGCATAAAAGATTAAACTATAAGTATTTTATATTACAAGATATTTTATTTTGTTATTGTTTTCAGTAAACATGAAAATGACAATACAAGTAACATCAATTTAATTAAAGTAGTTAAGATTATCAATGTTTACAATATGTTTAACATGAATTATCCACCTACATACAGTGTATTAGATGAATTTCACTCAAATAGAATAAAATAATTCGAGTTTTATGCTTAGAAGAATAAATTCATTGTAACTAATAGTAAGGTGAAGTAGTTGTGTTTTATTCTATTAAGGAGTCTTCAATTTGGATCTAATGCATTCCAGTGTTGTTATTCATATTGGGAATTGAAACTAATACCTTTTACTTCAAATGATTAATGCGTTATTTATTGAGCTATTGAGTGAAGATATCTACTCACTCGTTCAATATGGTTTGATATTTATATCATTATGGGAAAGGATTTGAATAAAGCTGTGCATCCATTTGACAAATCCCAAATAAAACGAAATACCAGTCTTAGATTCCTCTACTAACCAGAATGTATCTATTATGTAAACATTTGCGGTAAAATGATTATATTGTTGAAATTTAAAAAGAATGTACGAATGCCATTTTAGAATGATTACCAATAATGGAAATATTCAACTGTTTTCTATTAATGATTTGAAAGAAACATAAAAGAAACAATACTGATTCTACGTACAGTTATATATATAATCAGAAATTCTATTTGGTGAATATTTCCAAAGTTTGGGAATTTTCGATTGATTAAGGTTCTTTTTCTTGCGCATGCTACTAATTTAGTCAAAAAACTGGAAATGATTGTACCTGGAGAAATATTTTGATTTGACGAATCACTGTTGATGAATGTTAAGTTCTCTGAATATGATTTACTAAACTATCATTGCATCGTATGGACAATTATACGTTCAGTGATGAGAAAAAATTATATAATACAAATAAAGATTAATTTGGGTATTAAAGGGAAAAGGTTCTATAATGAACGAGCTTTTTAACGCATGCCAGAAATGATTATGTCTCATTTTATTTGTCATCATATCTCTAAGCAGCAGTTGAAGATCAGCTGATAGTTTTGAGTTTGCTTTTGGTTAAAGTTATTGATTGTTTATGGGTGTTATTTGACTGATTACAGGATAAGGTGAGAGAGCCCAAACACAATATGGCATCTATATCTCATATGAATTCATTCACGTTAAAAAAAATAATTATTATCTGAAGAAAAAATGTCTACATGCACTGGAAGTCTTTATATTCTGCATTATTCCCGCATATAGTTGGGCGGAACTCCTCAGTAATTAATTTTAAAAAATTGTTACATCATTTTATCGTTTATTGTTTAATCAACTGTGAATTTTATTTACGATTGCACAGATTCCAACCAATAACAATTACACTGAAATATTTAAAATAATTTACTAACAAATTATTCACAGTTTTACTGATAAGATTCTTATAAATTTAAACAAGAAGTAATAATTCGCACTAATGATTGATTATACACAACCATTTAGAAACAAGAGGTATTGATAAATATTTTGTCCCAGTATGATAATCTTCATCAGTGTACAGTCAATGGATGACAATTCAACAATCCCTACATACCACATATGCAAATCATATTCATATGTTCACTAGTAAAATTCTGGAAGTTTTAGTGAGAAGCCTAGACTAATCGAGCTCAATCATTTCAGGTGTCAGACAGTTATCTATCACAAGCCATAAGAACTAGTGACTCAATACCGTTGACCAATTGAATTTATACATGTAAATCACTGGTTTAGGGGTTAGGCATTCGAATGTGAGATATAATGTCCTTAATTCAATCTCTGACGGCACCGATGATTACTGTGAAATTGATAGACTGTGATGACGAAAAAATTAGATAGTTCAAACAGCAAATAATAGACGAAATACTTATTCTCCGAATTTATTTTCAATAAATGTTTTTTTACCTCTATGGATGACTATTGGTGTCAAGTGGTATTGTATGAGTAATATAGGTGTAAATCATATAATTTATGAGTAGGAAATATATTTCGCAATTAATAAATACGTATAATTAATGTCTTAGTCAAGTTAAATTCATTAGTTTGTAGAAGAAATGCATATGAACCAGTTCTCATTATTCGATTAGTCGGCATATCACTTCATTAAGGGAATTAGGACCAAGAAGGGATGAGAGGTTGGACGTATCGTTTCTGCATGCAAAGTTCAGGCTTAAGTTCTATACAGGAGCATTTAATTAATTGTGGACACATCACCCCAAAAGATTCTTCTTTTTAAGTAATCTATAGAGTTAAAGAAACTGGACCGAAGGTGTGCCAAATCAATATTTTATGCACTGCTGAGGTATTGGCAATCCACGAACTCAAACCTGAACTTTGAGTTCGGAAACGATCCATCCAACGTCTTATCCTTCTTTTTTGTCTTAGTCTTTGATAATGACGGGATAAAAATTTAAAATTACATTTATTTTACTCGTTGTGATTTTTTGTTCAGCATTACTTTCGTTTTTTTTTAAAATTCGATTTGATAATTACTTCTTAATGTAGCATTCAGTTTTATTTTCCCGTATGACATTTTATTCTTTATAACATACAATATTCTTGTATTCAATTGACATGAACTATGCTCAGCATGATATGCAGCATATGATTTGTTTTAACTATGGGCAGTTTCCATATATGCGATTTCATCCTGATTAGTATTCAAAATAGGTTTACAATCATTATATATATCGAGTTTATTTTGGACCAAGGTTGTCGTTCTATTTTCGGATTAATAAATCTTTACTTGTGTCAGTTTTGATGTTCTTACTTTTCATCATGGGAATTGCATTTGTTTCTCGTTTTACAAGTATAAGCAATAAATGATTCTAACATAACAATTAACAACGACCAGATAGAACAATTGGCAACGCAGTTATAAAAGTCTTTTACTCATATTACCAGATCATTTTTTTAAAAAAACGAACATTAACAATCAGTAACTTGACTCAATTAGTCATATCATGTTCAAAAACCCATTAATCTCCATTATAAAACAAATCTCTTTTAAAAATAATTTATTATTGTCATAATATACGTGTATATGTATAGATGCATAAAACAGTAATAGTGTATTATGTAAAATGTAAACTTGTCAATATTGAATAAACAACTGTATGTCACAAATATTATTGTTATTATTTAATGTTCCTGCTTAATTCACTGGAACAAAATTAAAAACAAACCTGACTGCAATTGAAATTAAAAGAATAAAGAGGTGGAAATTGTAAAACTCAAAAACAAAAAAGAGAAATGAAAATATCCGTGATAAAAAGGAGAAAAACAAAACAAAAATTTTATGTAAAACCTAAATGATAATAACTGAATAAGAAAAAGCCAATTTGTGTACTCAACAGAGTAAAATGATACAAGTTTCATTACACAACATTAATTCGTTTTACCGAAATTACAATAATATTATGTCTTTTTTTTCCCATTTCACACTGTTCGTTTTTATTGTGATCATCATTTAAAATAGGGAAGATTATGTAATAAAGTGTTATTTTGATCATAAGCTTGGGGATAAATAAGATTTTTCAGCCTAATGTCAAGATACATTAGTGTGGTTACATTTTTAACAGTTAAGCATATGTTTGTGACTATATGTGTGTGCGACCGTTCATCCGTGTATATATGTATGTCTTTCAACGAACGCACATATATTACATCATGTAAACATATGTATATAAATAAATAAGTAAATATATCTCCTAATCACTTAAAAAGGAAACATGTTTACCTGAATAGAAATGTGCTTTACGTATGTCACTAAGGCTTGTATGCAAAAACAAGTTAGTTTGTCTCCTTGTTATCATATATATATATGACATTATGTTGTCCAGATGAATTGAAGAGTACTTATGAAATGTTTGTAAAGAATAACACTTTGAAATATAGATGATTTTCAAAACAAAAAAAGAAGAAAAAGAAATGAGTTAAAATTGAGCAAAATTCTTTGTTGTTTTAAGATGTTACTCTATTTTTATTTTTATTTTGTTATAAACAATCAACATTAACAGATGTATACAAGCAAAGATACGTACAATTTCAAAAAAATGTTTGAATAATTATAACTAAAAAAATGAATGAAACGAATGAAATCTTACGGAAAATTTAATGTTTATTTATTTTTTATTTATTTAAGAAAACAAACTATTTATTGGGTCAACATGTACACTCATATAAACTGGCATGAAGATGAATACATTTATGTGTTTTATTCTCTTAATTTCCTACATAAGCTATCGACTATGATGGATGTAAGACTTTGTCTCAACCCGTACAAAAGATTCATAGAATTCGTATATGATCCAAATTTAGTTTGTATAAGTATTTGTAGATCATTAACTGTACCATCCTGACTTATTGAATTGTAATAGACAAATTGCAATTGAAATCGACAATTCATTTAGTTGTTAAAATAAATGCTATAACTATGAAGTCATAGATTCGCTTACACTTTGATAATGCTTTTTTTAAAAAAAATTACATAAATATTTATTATTACTTTCTGTACAGATAAAGTACATGATTGACTGAATACTAATAGCGTTTATAGTATCAGTACTAGTAGTAGTAGTAGTAGTATCGTTATTATTAATATTACTGAGTGAAGATTGAATCAATCAGTCTAAATCCAGTGTGAATATATAGTAAATAATAATAAAAACAGTATTACTGATCACACAAACAATATGCATATAAGTATATATATATATATATGTAAATATTAATGTTCTGTAATTGGTGCACTACTACGACGATGAGCAAGTGCAGAAAATCGTAAAACTGTACGATCATAATTTAAATCTAACACTTTTTGTTCTAATAATTTATTATCTTTACAACGTATTGTATTTGGAATTGATTTTAAATCAATTTTCGATGATAAATAATTTGGTTTGTTATTTTTTAATTCTTCATATAACATGTGTAATATATTTGCAGATACTGTACATGTAGATGATGATGATGATTTAATGGTAGAGGATTGAGATTTAATCTTACTAATTGGTATATTAATATGATTATTTCTTGAATGAAATGATAACATATTCTGTGTATCATTTTTTAATAGAACAACAGTACTTGATTTATTTGATAATGAAAAATTAAATGTTTTTCTAATAGCTAATTGTGTTTCCGGTAATGAATGTCGACGAATAACACGTGTTGTAATAAATATTGTTTGATGTGATTTCCCTGAATGTAAATTATTATTATTATTATTACTATTGGAATCAAATGATTCACATGTATTCACTGTATCAATTTCTTGAATCGGTGAATTAGTTAAATGAATTGATCCTATAAAAGGTTTTTGTAAATCAATTTTATTTTTTTGATCCAATTTCTAAAGAAAAAAAATTATAAAAAAAAATTAAATCTACTTAATTACGATATATTTTTGTAATAGTTACATTCATGAGTCGATACAAACTGGATCACCATAAAAAACCTGGAAGCACTGAACAACCTTTTCGTCTTAGTATGGGATTCCTTTAGCAATGAGCGTTCACGATCCCAGGATTTTGACCTCTAGACCATTGAGTTGGAATCCAACGATGTTGATATGTCTTATTCGAAATTTCTCTTTTGTTTAAATAAATTACACGAATTATAATTTCAATGTTCACTAATGACTTTCATTAAATTTATCACTATTTAAAAATAATTTTGAAAGAAACAATCTAAGATTGGTAAACACGTAGTTTTAGTTAAACTTTACAGTTCAAGTACTTTTTGACATTCAAACTACCAAAATTCATAAGATGATTAAAATTTTCATTGGAGAAAACAAAAGTAAGTTATTTTTATAACAGATCTTTCAACGTCCATCTATGTAATAGACATCTATTAGCATCGTTATTAATTTAAAACATTAATATAATCTTAAATAATAACTGATATTATAATATAGAATTGTACAGATTGTTGAATTTTGAAACAGCTATCCAGTGTTTCTAGGTTTTTAATATCAGTCTAACATTGATTTATTCATTATTTTAATCAATAACTGAACTGTTACAATGTCTACTAACTACTAGTTTTGGTAAAATCAATTATTACATAACATTCACATTGATTAAATCTTATTGAAATCATTGTTGATATTCAATAATTTTGATTATCAAATATTTTTAATCATTTAATTTAAATACCATTAACAGTCTAGTTGTTATAGTTAATATTTTGCATAGTTACTATTACATATTTATCAAGTATGAATGATTAACTAGATATCCAGTTAATTTTTGCGCTGAACTGAAATCAGTCAGACAATTACTAAAAACCAAATACCAATTTGAAAATTCTTATCAGAACGCATTAATGACATCACAAGGAAATCCATCTATAAACTGAAGAAGATGTAATACACATACATCATGATAATGATATCCACTGTTTCATAATTTAACTTCAACCAGTTTATTGTATAATAGAATCACCAATTAATTTCATTATTAATGCTTAATATTGACAATTCCATTGTCTTTATAGGTCACAGTCGAATGTTTTACATAGTTTATGGTAATTCTCTAGTTTTTTTTATGAAAGTTATTTTCAAATTGAACAAATTTATGAAAGGATCCATCTAAAGTTCGTCGAACAGATATTTGAATTATGCTAATTTTATGAAACTGGATATAACAAGCAGTTAAATCATCGTTTTAAGTTTAAACTGTTTTATTTCTAATAACTGTATAACTTGATAACTACAAGTGAGTACATGCAATAGAGGTTATCAGTTAATCTAATTAGATACAAACAAAATAGATCAGATGCTAAAATCAATGTACATAAAATGGAATACTAATATCTAATTCAACAGTAGTAATTCCAAAGCTTCGAGTAACAAACATAAGCTACGTGGAACATTCAATTTAATGATTAAATTACTCGACTTTCAAAACACCGCTTTTCAACTAATTCTATGTTTCAGTAGATAAATTATATTTCTAGCTCACAAATACACAAAACATATGACTAGAAGCCGAGTAACCAAAACTTTTCCTGTTACATCAACTACAATAAATTATTACTTTAAACTATTCATTTCACTTAATATTTCGTGATAATATTTTATCGTCTTTTATTTTACCTGATTAGTGGACATACATACAGAGGGTGGAGTAATCGAACAATGCAATCAAAGGTCATTGAATATGTGCCTATATGGCTTCAAAATCAATTAGTGTCAAATGGTCCGACCAACGTGAAAGGTAGAAAACCATGTTCATCGATAGCAAAACATATAATTGAAATGGGGCACAAAATTGACATTAATACAGCTTTTAAAACGTTGTATAGAAATTGTCAAGGACGAATTCTCAGGTTTATTGAAGCCTTGACTATTCGTAAATTTACCCCCCTGCTTATGTGTACAAAAACAATTTGTCGTAACTTTGAATTTACCCTGGTAATCCTTAAGTCATTTTGTGGCCTACGATAACACAACAATTTCTCATTCTCTCTATACGATGTAAGAAATGTTTCTCTCCTTTTATTACCTTTTCTTACTTGAACTTTCATTTAATTGACCTTTACTAATTTTCATATAAAAATGCCCTGACAAGTATATATGTGACCAGATTATTTGAAATGTATAGCGCAAATACATAACAGTTTACAGATCAACTACGTCTTCTAATTGCTTGAACAAAATTTATAAAAGGAAGTAATTGCTTTAAAAGATATGACTAACGCTAAAATGTGATAAAAAATAAAGAAAATAATTCAAAACAAGAATTCCGTAGAAATATTCAAAAGGAAAATAACCATCAATGTATATATATATATATATATTCTTGATATTCAAATCATAAAGAATACTGACTCATTTGAGCGTGTTCAGCGTCTGGAAACGAAATTAGTGAAAGATCTTTCTAGACTCTTTTACTATGACAGCTTAAAACGTCTAAACCTTTTCCTCTTGTATCGTAGGACGCGAGGTGACCTTTAATTACAATTTGGGTGTTAATATGTCTTATCTTTTTGTTCCCTCCAGCACTAATAATTTCTGAGGTCATAGCAAGAAGGTCCACAAACCGCGATCTAATAAACTTAAAGTAGGGTCCCGTTTTTTTCACTGAGTGGTCAATGACTGGAACGCCTTACCCGAACTAGTGGTATCAGCCCCATCAGTGAATATTTTCAAGGAGAAGCTGGAACTTCACTGGAGGGTAGACTGTTAGGATTAACACATGTTCACCAATCTACTATCCTTATTACTGAAGACTGAAAAAGAAAGTCCCCCTTACGTAACAACAAGTTGAATATAATATAAATATGAATTCATTATATCCATTCATCATAAAAGTGTCTTCAACTAACCTCTGATTTGATAGTTTTTTGTTTAATTTGATCTAAATAATGAATTGTTGAAATAGATTGATTATTATTGTAACTAAGTGGTAATGTTGATGTCAGTTGACTGTCTAATGAATTATGACGATTAACATAAGTTGTTATGCCTGATGATGATGATGATGATGAAGAAGATAAATCAGTTAGCCAATTTTTTAAATTTTCATCTAAATTTTGTAAAATTTTCAGTGTAAGATTATTTTGAAAAAATTCATGCCATCCAGTTAATAATGGTTTCACCATATCTCTAATAAATCCTGTGGATTTGGTTAGAATAATTAAGAGAGAAAAAGAGAGAGTTGAAGAGGATGGTAAAAAAATAAATCAACAACATTATTAGAAACATATTTTTACTATGAATGTAATATTATTACAAATTCGATTGAGTAGTAATTCATAGATATAAAGTTGAAAACTGCATAAAATTATTGTATTGTTTCAAGTTGACACAAGTACTACACATAACTACAAGGAAAAAAGGAAATAACCAAGAAGTAAAAAGCTAAATAATTAGAAAAACTTCATTGGAACTATTTCAAAAGGGTGAAAAATGAGGACAGTATTTGACAGGTGTGGAATGACTTTGACATCGTTATTCAAATAATAATGAACAATAAATGTAACTAGGATGGGTGGTGGATAGAAATAGCACTCAGGACACCTGTTTCGTCCCGTCTGGGGCTCGTCAGCAGGATGTATCTGCATCCCAGAGTTAATGTTCACTCTGGGACCATTCGCTTCAAATGCTATCGCGTTATCCACTTAGCTGTTGAGTCTTGACAACCACTTGCTTGTGCAATGGAGTGAAGTGTAAATTTATTTTGTGTTCTTTGCCCGAATCTTAAGCCAATATCGAAGCAATCCTCACAGAATGCACATATACCAGTAAGAGACTGATCAATTTCAGTCTTAAACATAATTGGGAAGATTCAAACAAATAATACAAAATGAATAAATGTCATTCTATATTACAACAGGCTATTTCGAAACATATTATGTCAAATCCTTGACTCTCTGGCATAATTATCTCATATGCCATATATAGGATATTTTTTCCAAATAACCAATTACTAAGTTCACGAATTGGTAATGTATATCAATTTAATCTTAATCCAATCAATTCGTATTTTTTTTAAGTCATCAAATTAACTGGTGACAATCCAAAACAAACTGGATCAATTTATGGTGAATACAAGTACATGTAGCCATTCATATTAATACTAGTGAAAGCTTATTAATAACGCCAAAAAAAGAAAATTAACTCACTAGCTGAATTTAACAAAAAAATTATTGTGTATATATTTCACTACATGACAAATGTAAATCACTCAATGCTAACAAAATCTATAATGAGATATATAAAGCTCAACTGATTTCTGGATAATTACCTATTATAAAGTTTCAATTATTCTGTCATTTTTTTCACAATCCTCAACAAGACATATCTATTCTGATCAATAATCAAACGGAATATTACTAGGATGTATGATTACAGACGCTTGAGAATGATCATGTCGATATCGTATGTGTTAAATAAGTTTGAATTGAGGACTAATGTGGACATTAACACACATATACCCTACCAGCAAGTTTCAAATAGGATGAAATAAGTCTCATGGATTCCACTGTTAGTGACAATCTATCTATTATAAATAATGTGTCTGTACTATAATGGAATACCTTAGAGATAATTCCTAATGATTTATGTATTACTCAAACTGATAATCGTTATTAGATAACTTCCGACAGTGTATATATTTGAAAATATAGTAAAAAGCGTTGACTACTGTTTATTATTCTACAGTGCAAATCGTGAAGCTACAAGGATACAAAGAGAATATGAACAGAAATGCAAATAATAATGAATGCCAGTGAACATTCGCGAGTGAATGAATAAACGGAATTTGAGAGACAAACATATATATGAAATCAAATGAATCATCGCACGGTTTAAGCAACTAAGTTAATTGAAGTGCTTAATAAAACTGAATGTATGCAGACTCAAGTGTATGTGAGGTACTATAGTACCAACAATTTATAAGACTTGAATATTAAATTAGTCGACAAAATTGTCTCTATATCATTTTTTCTTCAAAATCTAATCATAGTTGCATATTGAAAACTGGTTTGATCACCTCACTTATTGGTTTATTCATTCAATCAACATTGTATTGTTATTTGTCATGGCAACTTCTACTGTTTATTTCCATTTAAAAAATGACACATTAATCTATGTTATTCTCGTATGTCACCTTATAAAATTTAATTGAACATATTTAACTGATTGTAAAACCATAAGTACAAATGCTTTCGTTACAATGATTTAAAACAATTGTTAATATGATCTTATTCTAAAAACTAATGAATGCTTACTTAAATTAGCAATGCATTACGTTTAAGCTTTACATAAATACTCACTGTCTTATCGTGTGAATGACTATATGGGTGTAAATGAAATAGGACATAATGCATGAATTTGTCATATAGGCGTTTCCCACACTAAAATTGTTTGAGTCATATTCAGTGTATTAAGTTACTGAAACACAATATTATTTACTCATACTATGAATAGTGTCCAGTAAAAATATAATATACTGACGGACTTGAGTTAATTAATCAGAATTCAGATAACGCTTTATGCATCTTGCTCAAACTTTATAGTGCAATGGTAGATAACGTGTATGTTCATATTAACCAAATGAAAATGTGCAATATTTGTTTCCTAAAATGTTTGTAATCGATAAAAAGATATCTACTATGCTACCGAAAAGTGAAGTTTAGATGGTTCGTGAACTGAATTACATAACGTACCTGCTCCTAAAGCAGACTGTATGTTAAAGTATCTGATGTTATTCATTATGTAATCAAGATTGTTTGATGAAGCTAGATAATATTCTTCCTTTTTTTAGTTTTACTCTAAATCTCAACCCTAAGTTTCTCAAATTTGTAAACAGGAAAATGATAGGGCATTGGATTATAGCTGATATCAGTTCGTATTGAAAACCGTGACCCTAATTTGTAAGCCTAACTCAAAACTTCAGCAGATCTCTTAATACATAACCCTAACTTATTTGCATTATAACTGATGTCATTTGGGAAAGAAAACTCTATAAGGCTAGAAACCTAACTTACAACATTAACCTAACTCCTAATATGTACGTACGTGCGTACGTACGTAGGTATGTATGTTTGTATGTAAACTTGACCTGTTTTCTTTTGCTATAACGGGTGATTTGACATGGAAGGATTTATTATTCAAAGCAAAGCTGTTATTTTACTGTTATTTCATTACTTTGTACTGTTAATTATATTACAACTAGCTAGCATCGTTCAAGGTCATCAGTGAATAATATAGATTTTATAAAATAATAATATATTCTAACAAATTTTAGTTTAATGAATATCAGAAAGAAAAAAAGTAACGAGAAAAGCCAAACACGAAGTATCACATTTGAAAAAAATAAAAATAAAACTTATTGCTTATTTATTGTGTTGAAATAAAAACTTTTACAAGGTGTTTATGGGGAGTTGAAGTTATAATTAGTAATTAGAAATTTTTTCTGAAATAATTATTGAGACATATATATATATATATATATATATATATATATATATATATATATATATATATATATGATATGATATAAGGAGAGGAAATTAGGTCGTTGAGATAAATTTTAATGGATCTGTTCATGGAACTGAAGAGTAATAATCACTATTTGAACACATAAATATTGGTACAAAGGGGAAACGAATATATATGCGTCAAACAAGTCACTTGATTTGTGTGTGGGCTGTGATACTGACCGGGTGCCCAGACCGAAGCTGTTGGTTTTCTTAGGAGGACACACTCGGAGCCTTCGACTTAAAGGTCTGATCCACAAGGCAGTAGAGTAACGTAAGGAGATGCAGTCCCATGGTAGCAGGTGACCACTAATTGGTTCATACGCCATTTTTTCTCTCAGGATACTGGAGCTCGTGTGCACAATTGGTTTGAAATTAGGGTTTTCCAACTCCCCTAGGTGGGTCCTTCATATCTAAAAACCTTTTAAAGAGCCGGACATTCGCTTTTCGTTCTCTCATTTTCGTAAACAACATCCCGCCACGAGACGACAGTGGCTGTATACGCGTGGCCATTTGAGAACATTTCGAGAGGGGAAGTTGACTCTCTCCACCCTCGTCCATACCAATACATATGGGGACTAGTAATCTACTGTTATTATTATTGTTAAAACTCGCAAACATTACGTGCTAATAAATTAACCATCGCCAGCTGATTTGTTTAAGATTAAGATCATTCAATAATGGTCATTCGCTTGTGTCTACCACATCAACTCGAATTATGTGTTTTCACCTTTGTGCCTAACATAAATTCAGATCTGCTTACTCAGATTATCCATTACAAAAGCCGTAAGCAGATGGGTGAGTGAAAAAGCGGGCACAGTTATAAAGAAGACACATTATTTAGGGTGATCATCAAAAAGGTCCATATTAATAAAGGTGAACATCAAAAGAGAGAATATTATTTTTAATGGTATGAAACCTGTTTGATTTACTCTCTTTTCTTATATCTGTGAGATAATTTAAAGAACGTGATTTTTTAAATGTTTAGTGAAGAGTCTACTTTAAACAAATATTGTGAATTTTTCGGAATTCGTGACAATTTGTTATTCACTAATACAAAGTTTGTATCCCAAATTAAACTTCATGAATTCCAATTCCATACTAATGAAGTGTAAGAAATATAACTAGGTATATAATACGTCGACTTTGTTAACATCTGTTTCCTTTTTGACCCTAATCAAATCACATTTTCACTACAACTACTTAAACGTAATTAATTCTATTGCACTTACATTTTTGGTTGCCTGAAATAATCTAAAAAATTCTCTTATCCTCTTGAATATCTAACACATACAGACATGCCTTTAAATAGATTGTCCTCTAGCTATTCGATAGAGATTTACAAGAAAACATGAATGAGGTAATAAAGAATAACAAACTGTCACCAAATCCGAAAAATTACATTATTTGTTGAAAGTAGACTCTTCATTAGACATTTAAAAAATCACATTGATTTTTTAGTTATCGCAAAGATAAAAAGACAGAGGATAAATCAAACAGAAGCCACTTCATTAAAAACAATATTCTCCCTTTTGATGTTCCCGTTTATTAAATACAGTTTTTTGATAGTGATCCCTATAAATTTGTGCCTTTATTTAACAGTGCTCTTTTTACATTTGGCTCTTTCATAGTCGTACTATTACTCGTTTCGTTATTAGTGTGAACCCAAACTCAGATAAGTTTTATTTTCTAATAGCAATCACTATATTTTATAATTTAATGTGGTGTATTACTAATGTACATTATGAATAATACGGTTATTTAATGATGAAAGAAAAAAACAAAACACATGAAAATGAAAAGAAAATCATGTATGCTGACCAATTTGTATTCTTGCTAAAGTAAATTTTGTGCGATCCATTGTTGGTATAGGCTGTAATGACCATTGAAAACGTTCTCTATCACCTTGACAAAATAACTCACAACAAACACGTATTGCCCATTCTTTACATGTTGGCCAAACTCGACAGGGATTACTTATATCTGAACATTTTAAGGCCATCTATAAAATACATACAAGAAGGTATAAAGATGATTTATATATATACACATATGACTGTTGCTTAATCAATAATTAACTATATTCAATGTTTCTGTATCTTTATTCATCAGTAATTGTTATTCTTGTTTTGTTAAAATGAACAATGTTTACATTGTTTGTTTACTGAGATGCTTATTTATTTTTTTTCTTGAAAAAAGTCAAATTCTATGACAGAGAAGATAACAATTTTTTTCTGATAATTCGTTTAATAATAATAATAATATTAATAAGATTTTTTATGATATATATATATATATATATATATATATATATATATATATATATAGCTTGAAATAACTCCGCCTGGAGCCCGTCTGAGGCTACTGACTGTCCCAAGCCCGGATAAAGGAGGAGGATTGGGCATGGGATGAGCGACTACATCTTGTAGAAAACTAACTCGCTAAAAAAACGCTAACCAGAAAAAAAATATTCAAACCATTGAAACTATGTCCTGGGAGTCAGAATGTCTTCATTTAGAAGAGCTATGACGCCTCGTGGTGAAAGCCTAGTTCTTTTAGAAGTCATGAGGCTGATGCCCCTTCTGATAACCGGAACAACCACTTATTTAGGTACATGGGATGCTCGTACAATGTGGGAGACCGGGAGAGTCTTCCAATTTGCTTCAGATATAGCTTAAAATAAATGACAAAATAAGCAATCGAACATTGACAGTATACGTTTATATAAATTAACTTTTAAAATTGCTCCAATTTACATATATATTAAACAAAAATTAAAAGTTATTCAATGTGAGACTATAATTTATGGACGACCTTTCAGCGACACCAAAATGACCTTGGGAATGTTCATCTAATAACTAGGATCAAATGTGGGTTATAAATTAGTGTGAGGAATTAGAATTATGATTTACAGTTGATGGTTAAGATTAGGAATTAGATTTCGGGTTTTCATCACGAATTGACATCAGCTATAATACCAAAATTCTATTTAACCAAATGGATAAGTGAATTTCGCGCCAAAATCCGAGACCTGTTATCTTATATTTGATTGGTTCGTCCATAAATTATAGTCTCGCCGTTTAGTAAATAAATTAAATTATTAGAACATTCGTTCACTCAGTTATAATTACAATTAAACTGGGCTACAAATCTTATTCATTATATCAAAAATCTTAATTAAGAAATATTAAATAATTGTCAGTGAATGAGTAAATGATCTACAACGTAGGACCAGGCATATACATATACATCGGTCCAGTTTGTCACACCTCATTAGCACAGTAAGATGAACATCACATGCATGAAAGTAGTCTTTTCAATGGTAATAATAATTATAAGGAATATTTACGTGTTAGATAAACTTTTAATAAGAATAGAGAAGTTTATCTTATAAACATTGTACACTGATTACTAAGCAATATTATAAAGATATTAATTATATTAGAATGAAAGAAAATCCACTAAAGGAAATTTGCTTTACTTCTTTATCACTAAATTATCTTTCATTTCTATTCAATAACACAATTGGTTTCTTTTAGTATATAAATTTTATTTATGAAATTCATTGAGATTAAAATTAACTAGTTTAAACATTTTATATATTGGCCAACTCTAAACTTTTAAACTGGGATTTTTACAAATATGATTTATATCAAAAGTCTTCAAATCATTTTTGGAGGTTTTTGAATCGAATGAATCATAGCTACTTAGTGTCTATAGTGACTATGCAAAATAAAGTGAATTTATACTTTAGATTCTGATAGATTACGAAACAATAATTATTTTGTAATCAACATTGAGGTATATACATGATTATAGACAATTATTAATTCAACTATAGCATAATCACAATTTTTGCCACTTAGTAATGTATTATAAAGTTGTGCATTGAACTACGGATTATAGTGACTGAGTGTAGTATATGGACTAAAAATAAGACTTAGTTGCTTAAACAAAGGATGGTACGAACAAATGCAACTATTTAACGTACTAAGTGAAATATAATTTGCATATTTTGAGAGAGACTGTAGCTTATTCATACTTGTAATGGTAATTTCAACAAATTAAAAAGTGGCTACCTTTTCTGTGAAATCCAAGAAATGTATATCGCATACAACTCGTTATTAAATCCCTACATTCTGATTGCTTTAAACCAAAATGTGATTATTCTGGTATGTTTTCATTAACCCAAATTTCGTTTTAGTTCGTATTCATCGGCAAAATTAATGCTTCTTCTCAAAGAAATTGATGTTTCTTGTGAAATTCCAATTCATATTATCGATTGTTACACTACGAGACACGACCATTGAGTTAGTCTTCCCAAACACCAATCATAACAACATTGAGCATATGATTTCGAGTTATTTAGCTTAGTGGGTAGATTGCTACTTGATCGGCTCCGAAGATAATAATTACTACGAAGTGAACAACCTCATACAGTTAGTTCCTTCAATAAACTTTTGCAATCAGTTGATTTCTCACCAAACTCAGTTTATTTGTAATGGGCTGATGTAACCACACTATATTTATGAAAAATATTAGAAGTCATAACCTTGAAACTTTTATTCTACTTATCACTTAATTAGCACTTGCAGGGAAAATCTGATAAAACTCAATAGAGTACATAGCTAGATAGACATGATCAATTCCGATCGATTCCTAAATCGCCTTATTATATGCATATATAACATATTCGACAGAACTTGCCTACTTAGGTCTAGATTCTTTTGTTTTTCATTCTTCTATGTGATCAAAATTAGTTATTTGATCAAAATAGATCTGCAAAAATCAGTTGATGCATACCATTAAAACCGTTAAAAAAAGAATTGAATATTGTTCATTCACTGCTTACCGACAGAGTGCTTTAATCAAAAAAATTCTGTTGCTCTTTTTGTTCTAACCTGTGTCACTTTTAAAAAATGGATTTTTGTTCTCTAATGGAGTAAACTACACTAAGTTGTAAATTTTCTGTTTATTGAGATGTAACAATCATATTGTTAAAAATTCTGTTACATATATTGAAAACCTGGTATATTAAGTATATGCATACACCTATCATCAAAACCTAAAAGATTTCATATTTTATTATATTTCTGTGTTGTTATATTCATATGGTATTATTTTACCCTTTGGTTGCACAAAAATTTCTCTTGTGGAAACCTCATACATTTTAAATACCTCTTAATGTTATTCTAATAAAAATTCCTCAATAAATCAAGACTGTATTTGAATTCACTGCCAAAACTTTAGTATTAATATCATGAAATGAGTTTTTTTAAAAATAATATAATCTAATTAATGAGTTTATAACCTTACGTTTCTATTATTTAATCTAATGCACTCTTATATTAAAAACTTGATAAAAAGAACCCACTACATTGGATATAAGTATAAGTCTTATAGAGCTAAATGAAATACGCGGAAATAAAATGATACACTACTACTACTACTACTACTACTACTACTACTACTACTACTACTACTACAGAGAATATACTCATTAGATGAATTGGTCGGCACATAAATACCATGGTAATATATTGACCGTTTAGCCAGTGTATCATTTGAATGATAATAGTTAGAATCTGATTAAGAGTATGAACATATTGTTGTTGTTTTTTAAGCTAAAACATTCTAAAATGTCATATACATTTTGGAAATGATAAAATTTTAGCAAATTAACTACTAACAATAAATAGAATAAATTAAACGATTAATTATTATTTGTTTTTTACATACTTGCATGATTAACAGGCGATCAGATATTGTATATGATAAAGATGGATTAGCCATATGATAGTTTGTTAAATCCTGTGAAAATAAGTTAAACAAATTCGTATTTATGTATAAATTGAAATATCCATAAATATTGAAAATAGGATCATTCTGAGGGAATAAGGTCTATAGTATTAAGCTATTTTTATAAAACTGTTTCTTCACACTAACAGATAAATGGAGTATAGGGAATAAGGAGTATTGTGTAACTACATTACTTACAAGTAGCAGTTGTTTTACTGAAGATTTAGTTAGAAATTACTTGTTCTTTGATTATTTAATTCAATTATGATTAGTAAGACAGTATTAGACTAACAATGTTCTCTATTGTCTAGATTTGTTAAACTATGGTATGCTTTTCTGATTTCACTATCTCTAATGTAAGCTTCTTGCATAAACAAACTTTGATTAAATATGGAACTAGATACACAATTATGTACATGTATCTTTGTCTCCAGTTTGTTCGATCTTCAATGTGTATATTCTGATGAAGACGATATTATATGTACACCAAAATAGAACACGAACTCTACAATATTTATAATAATTGAAGAGATAGTTAATTTCTTTAGTTATTTTACAGTTTCATTAATTGTCAAGTGATTTTCATCCCGAAGTGATGTTAAAAATAGGTGACATTTGTTTTAGCTTAATTTATTATTTCATAGAATTGTATAGCTGTTACATTCATCGAATCGAAATCAGAGTTCAAGTCTCAACACCTCATTGATACAATGATCTTCACGGATAAATTGTCTAACCATTATTGATCACTGACTAGTTCTCGTTTATAAGTTATTTCCTAATATAAGTGGGGAAATATACTATGCATTATTTACCTTGTTATGTGAGGTCATATGACCTCATTAACAAAAGTAAACCATGTAACATATATTGGAGAAAAATAGAAATAATGTCAAACTGTCTTACAAAATCCTTAAAAACTCTAAATATTACATAATTATTACTGATTATGTAAAACCAATAAACTCCATCTTGAGTTTTCTAATCACTAAAACGAAAACAGATCAATATTCTTGTTTATTTTGATAGTAATAGTAGTAGTAGTTTACTTCATTTAAATTCAACAAAAGTGAGTAACAATTAAACAAAAAAATATGATTTTATTAACTTCTTAGGATACACAATATATGTTACTGTATCATTTCAATTATCATGATTGCTAATGGTCAATATATCTGATTATCAACATTAAAGGTATTTAACAAGTTAGGATACTGGATGAATTCAATGATACATATTCACATTTTTAAGGTTTAACTAGTTTCAAATAAAAATGATATTGGTATAAACAACTAAATTATAATTAAATGAAAGTATTTTACATACAGGTAAATTATGAAAAGAAACAACAACAACAGGAGAGTGAGAGGTTCAGTAAGGAAAAACAAAACAGGCTATCATTTTGACTTATTTATTCATTTTTCTCTCCGTCTTCCACATCGACGCCCTCCTCCTTATCACTTCAACAACAAAAATTACGATGAAATTGACTTCAACAAGAATTTAATCTATTTAAGTGATATTACTAAAATTTTGAATAATCAAATTATATACATGTAATACTTGTCAAACTAGTTACTATCCAAAAATGAATTAATATTAATTCAATAATTATTATAATAAATATTATATTAATTTTTAAACAGAAATATTTTGACAAGTGACCCGATTGTTTGAAATTTATCTATTCATGTAAATAAATCAATTTTTATTTATTTACGATCAACTTCAGTTTTGTTTATATAAGACTAACTGTTTGAAATTAATAATGAAAGAGTAAATATTAAAAATAAAATAAAATTCTTTTAATAAATATCATAATGATACATTTTGATTGGATGCTAATAAACCAATTTAAGAATTAATTCATGAATGAATTGAACAAGAGATTTTATTCTCCTTTTCTTTTTAAAAAAATATGATCTAATTCAAAAATGAATGATCATATCAGTTTTACTGAAAATATAAAAAAAAATAACTAGAATATTCAGCTGATCAACAATTTATAAACTTTTAGTTGTTATGTAATTAACTACTTGAATTATATCATTATATATACATGTGAGGATGAAAGATAAGGGTTAATCTGTAAGTAGAAAAAGTTTAAAATGTTGTTGTACACAATAACTATCATATTCCAATGCTGAGTTCCACATGACTTGATACCGATCTCGGTTCTCACATTTTACAATAATATAGCGAAAGAGTAAGTTAACCAAATAAGAAACATACAAGGAAGATGTACGTGCTAGACGTTTATCAGGCTAACTATTTGAGGGGTATAACAAACAAACAAGTAGGATATTTAATATCAGTACATTAGTCAGTCACTAAGTACTGAATAATACCACATTGTTCACTTATTAGTACTAAACAAACTGTAAAGATTAAGCTAAATCATGACGGCTAGTTTGACTAACTCAATGTTGTAATGAAGATTTTTAATGGTAAACGGCAAAAGCCAGTAAACAAAATACAATGAGTCCAAGTTTTAAACTGTTTTTCATTTGTCACTGAGTCATATCTACAATCTTCATGAAACTGGTTCTCTAAAAAAAGTTACGAAACTTAAGTTTTTGGACTGCAATTGAATACCTGTATGAGTAACATATTTAATCTAATGAGTCGTAGTGAAAACACCTCTGTCTTTGAATTTTCGAGATGGTTTCAGATCCTTGAAGAATATAATTGCATAGGTAGTGTCCAATAGAGGAAACATTTAGCAAATGAGAAAAAGTAATCACAAGTACTATCTAATTTTCGCCCTGACTTTTAGTAGTTCAAGTTAGATTATTTGATTTATAGAAATTCAATAAAATTATCTAAACCAACATCAAACTATTGACTTTTAGTGTTAGTTAAATAGGCTAGGAAAAGTTGGAAGAACGACGATACGCTCCAACTTACTTTGAATTGTTTTTGATATACTCCTTGATATGTAATATCAGTAGCTGGAATTAATTTTAAAAAACAGTCACGCACGAATTCCCTATGAATAAGAAAAAAAAAACAAAGTAGAATTGAAAATATAACATTCACATTTCATAGAGTTAATTCAAAGTTTTGTATTAAAACAATTTATGGGTTCTTTTTTGAAAAAAAACGAATTTCTTATTCAGGAATAGTCTGTCAAGAAAAAGAACCACCAAACATTTCAAGAAAAACCAAATCATAGGTATGTAGACTAAAATAAATCCAAGAATACAATAAAATGAATAAGTAGTCGTTCTGATAGTTTCGAACTAAATTACATCCTTACATTTTCCAACAAAAAAATACTTTCTTGATTTACAAATGACATATTTTAAGTGTTAACATAGTTCCAAATGGCAATTGATGTTTTTCCATGGAATAATACCATTTGCTTATTCCATAAATTTGAGTTTTTTTATTTGTGTCGGGTAGAGACGGGTATCTACATCGCTACAGTGGAAGATGGTCGCGCAATTTCGTAGATTGGTTGGGGTTAGACATTATTACTATTGAATGCCAAATGAGAAGTCCAGTAGGTTAAGCGTTCGCAGGCGAGACTGAAGGCCCTGGGTTCGAATCCCACGAGCAGGAACGTGGATGCGCACTACTGAGGAGTCCCTTAATAGGACGAAACGGCCTTCCAGTGCTTCCAAGTTTTCAATGGTAGTCTAACATTAATCGGTTCATGATCTAAATCTAAAAAAATATTTTCTTTTGTGACTACTCTAATCGACTGATACAGTTCTTGAAATTATTTAGTTACTTAAATTTCCTCGCATAATTTCGTAATTTATTTAAACACATAAATAGTGGTACAAGAAGGTACTAGATATATATGCGCCACACAAAGCATTCGATTTATCTGAGGGCTAGGATACTGCTTGGATGCCTAAACCAAAGCAGAAATTTCAAAATTATCAGATTTCAAATAACAGAATGAATGACCATCTAACTCAATCATTTTATCATTATTATTATTATTACTATAAAACAATGAAGGACCTCAGCTTTAAACAAAATATTTCACCAAATAGTTATAACTTGTCTGATAATGAATAACTGAACTAAAATGAATTTCATAAAATGTAATGATTTTTTTCAGTACCGACTGTCATATCTAATATTTTTCCCATGTTTATTACATTATTGCAGTATTTAACATGAATCAATAGTTCTGACATAAAAACATATGTAAATGTACATCACTCATGCTAATCAGTAGTATACTCATTTAACCAGAATACAGTGTTCTTTTTTTACAATTAAACTGATCAGCAGTATGAGAGGAAATATTTAGGTCAAAATTCTTTAATTACTTCTACTGAAGTGTACCGGGAATGTACCAGGATCGATTCAATAAAGGATTAGGTATAAGAAATTATAACAAAACTAGCAATTAAAAATTAATATCATGAACTCATTTATTAAATATGACTAAAAACGGATTAACAATATAAATTATTATTAATATTATTATCAGAGTTTAAATATGAACACAATTATTTAACAAAAAAAATAACTAACCAATCTTTTAATTCTAATGCATTAGATAATCCATTTTCTTGAAGAATGCATAAACCAAATTTTGCATGATGTTTTTCCAATACAGAAACCGACTAAATGTTCAAATAATAATAATAAAAACGATAAAAATATACAGAAGAAGATATTCTTTTAAAAAACGCACATACACATATACACGAAAATACAATACTACTGTTATTAATAATAATAGTGGAATATTATTTGATCGAAAGAAAAAGAGGGAGAAAGAAATTCAATGAAATAAATCAATGAAACAGATGAGTTACATACTTAACATTATTACTTAATATCTTGAGATATTTTGGCGAGACTCTAATTTATGGACGAGCCAATAAGAAACGTTTTAGAGATTGCAAGGTTATGGCACCAACTTCAGTGCTTAATGCTAACATAGGGAATTTTGTACAAAACGTGATAATTGAGTGGCTATAACAAATAAAACGGCGAGACTATAATTTGAGGACGAATCAATCAGGAATAAGATAACAGATCTCGGACTTTAACGCGAAAGCATTTCATTCATTTGGCTAAATAAATTTCCGGCATTATAGTTGATGTCAGTTCGTGATGAAAACCCCATATATAATTCCTAATGACAAATTATGACAATTATCGCGAACTGTATAATAAAAGTACAAGTAACACTGGCTGCAGCCAGGTACTTCAACATATACGGATGTTTTGAGAGCTTACAGACCCCTACATAGGCTTGGTTACGCGCATCGTGTCGTTATCCACAAGTAGAATTTTGTGCACTCAACAACCGGAGTGCACATAAACAATATCGAAGCTATATGGTCGAGGCTGAAAGTATTTGAAACTTTATCGTGGCCCCAGAGGTCGACTATTCTGTAGCCGTATGGATGATTTCCTCTACGATTTTAGAACCTCTGAACCTCTTTCTAACTGACAAGTTTTTGAACCAAGTATAAGAAGTGTATCCACTTTATTTTCTTGGTTTTGTATAACATTTTTTTACTCTTTACTGGCTGTTTGCTGATTGGCTAATATTTCTCAAGGTCGCTTAAGATTCGTCCAAAGGTCGTTCATAAATTAGAGTCTCGCCGATGTTTATTCTTTATATGAAAAGACAATAATCGAACAGAAATTTGATTACTTCATAACACATATGTAAACATTTTTCATACTCAACATAATATACACAAATAAATGTAATGATATTTGTTATAGAATCAACTTAACTAAAAATAATATAACACTGATATGTTCAAACCTACAAATGATTTTGATGATACTAAGAATATTCTGTTTGAATTTATCTGTACCATTTAAACTTTTGTTCATTTATTTTGATTAGTTACTTACTGATTCTGAAGAAGTGATTCACATTAAGTTACGAAACATCAGAATTATAATTTTGTACACGATAAAATATCACAAAAAATATAATTCATATGAACAGAAATTAGTTATGTTACATTCATGATGGTGGTTATTTTGTCAATTTCATGAGTTATAAAATAAATAAGTGATTTTTAAGTATGAATTCCGAATGTGATTTTTGTTTCTTTGATTAACAGTGAATATCAAATTGAAATAAAACTAACAACCTTGAATATTTAATATAATTTTTAGATGGTGGTTGGAGGTAGTCAACAGGAAACCCTGGATTGTGATTACATCTCAGTCCTACAGGAGGTTAGTCACGGCTCGGATAGCTCAGTGGTAACGTCCCTGACTGTGAAGCTGGGTGACACGAGATCGAATCCGCCAGGGAGCACCAGTTCCCTCAAGATTACAGGCACATCTTGCTGACGAGTGCCAAGTAGCACGAAACCCGGGTCCAGGGTTTCCTGTTGACTACCTCTAACCACCATCTAAATCTCAATACATAGTGCCCTCAGTGTCGAGTCACCTAGACTGGTGGCCACATCGCAATATGATCGATAGCATTCGATCTGCACTAATAAGGACTAGACAAGCATGACATTGATCACCACCCAGTGATCAATCAATTGTGATTAATATAATTTTTAGATATGATTATTTTGTGGGTAGTATTCACCATAGATTGAGTTGATTTAGAGTTCTATCGAAAATCAGGGGACACTGAACAATTGTTTACCCTTAGTATGGTCACCGTTTCTTGTAATATCATTTGAAAGCACTATTGAAGAGTTTCTTACTGGGGAGAAACAGATCCGAGGCCCTCTAGTTTCATTGATACTTCAGATAAAATCAGTCCGTTATAAATACTGCCTGAAAATCATTAAGATTACTGATGTAAAAAAAACGCAGTTGTTGGTTCAATGTCCATTTCAGTCTAGTTACTGGCTGTTGAACAATAAACTTATGAAACAAAGGTTTTATGAGTTACTACGCTAGTCCATTATCACTAGATAAATAAACGATGTTCAGCCACGATCCTTTTTAGGATTAAAAATTAAAACTCTTAGATCTCATGTGGTAAGCAAAATGTTATTTAGTTAATGAGCCGAAATTAGGTAGTTAATATTCTTTTAATTTTAGTCAATTTGTAATCCAGTGTGATCCTTAACTCTATTTTGTAAGCTTCTGACAACTTCGTTTTCGATTTCATTGGTTTGATCTCAAAGTTCTACAGAAACTTTTATGGATTATTCTTATATACATAAATATTTTTTCCAACTATAGCTCAGTCAATCCAAAACACTTCAAAAGCCTTCAAACAATCGTTGAGTAGTTCACACAAATTATTTCTCCTCGAAAAGTAAGATATCGGAAAAGAAAAAAACCAGCAACATAGATGAAATATGCACATATTTGGATATTTATATATGTACAGATATGGATATGTATACGGTATTCACTGAAAAATGTACTTGATAATCTGATCTATAATAAAACATTGAAACTAATCCTTATTCAAATCACATATATTTTAAAGGTAGATTGCGTTTACAAGGCCAAAAAGACAGAAGATTAATTAATATCAGACAAGTGTTTGATATTGAGATCTTTATGGAACTCTAGTTCATTAAACTGACTGATCACTGAGTGGTAACTAATTCCACGCCTGTCTGGGCCTTTGTATTGATCGAATTCTCTTAATAGAGTTGCAACGCGGTTACCAGTCTATAAAATTTGGCATTGTATGTACTATGGGTACGATGAATTCCGATTTCACGGAACGCATATATCTCCTTAGGACCACAGTTATGTCTTATCAATGATTCCTAAATTGCATGTAACTTAAGTCCATAAATTTCGACTAACAACGAAATCCAAACATCTTACATTAAAACTCGAGATAATATTAACGAATGATGCATGCCACACTCTAATCAGACAAAAAATTCATATATTGAATCTAAAATCTTATTCGGTAATTTCTATGTTTCTAATATATTTAAGTATTTAAAAAATGATAAACAATCCATAGGAAATAATCCTTATTTAGTAATACAAATGATGAATAAATCTTTGTGCATTAACAGATCTATTTAAATTTTCTATTATGTTCCGATTTTTTCGTTCCCTGATCAATCAATATGAGTTTCGTAACGAAAATAAAGAACATCTAAGTATAAGATAATCATTAATTTGTAGCGTACAAAAATGGTCAGTATTCAGAGTTTGATAATTTGTGAAAAAAAACATTTAAAGAGGGAAGGATGGCTAGCGGGGATAAATACTTGATTCTAACTCACATTTTGTTATAAGTATATATATATATATTTCTGACGTTTCGTGACTTAATGTAGGCCACTTTTACAGAGTAAATAAACGTAAGTTTCTTTGTATTCTTTAAAGTTGTGGTAATTTAATTCAGTTATTTATTTATTTTGAAGAAGTGGCTTACGTGAAGACACGAAAAGTCAGAAATACAATATTTCTACTCATTGGGATATAACAAAAAACATAGTTACTATTAACTTTCTACTCAATCCTCCATTTATTTGAAACTATCAAGTCCAACATTGACACTGATAACTATAAACTATAAAAATATCATGATACAAAAAAATATTAATTTCGTAAAGCACAAAACACAACTAATCATTGATTGAATAAACAAAAAATTGATTATCTTAAACTCAATTATTTTAAGAGTCTAAGTGTATGTAATTCATTTTTGTATGCTGTTGCATACACATAATAAGTCTTTATTTTGAAGACAGCGTACAGCACGGAGGACATCAACCCAATCTCACTTGATGGAAAAGCTCTGGAAAGGGTGGAAAGTCTCACGTATTCTGGTAGCATCATCGATGTACAGGGAGGATCCGATGCAGAAGAAAAGGCAAGGTTTGGTAAAGCAAGGGCCGCATTCCTACAGTTGAAGAACATATGGAGCTCAAAACAACTGTCAACGAATATCAAAGTCAGAAACTTCAATACGAACGTCAAGACAGTTCTAATGTACGGAGCTGAAACTTCGAGAACTACCGCAACCATCATCAAACATGTACAAGTATTTATAAACAATTGTCTACATACGATACTTAATGTCCGTTGACCGGATACTATCATCAACAGCCTTTTGCGGAAGAGAACCAACCAGCTTCCATCGGAAGAGGAAATTAGGAAAAGACATTGGAAGTGGACAAGATATGCATTATGGAAATCACTAGACCATATCACAAGGCGAATGCTAACTTGGAATCCTGAAGGGAAACGGAAAAGAGGAAGACAGAAGAATACATTACGTCGGGAATTGAAAGCAAACATGAAAAAGGATAAACAGAAACTGAAAAGAACTGGAGAGAATTACCCAGGACACAGTTGGATGGAGAATGCTGATGGGTGGTCTATGCTCTTCCGAAAGGGGTAATAGGCGTAAGTAAGTATAAACAAGTAGTACAGTAAGAGAAAAAAATTCAACTCAAAACGTAACATAACATTAAAAAGAGTAGAATACAAAACACAATTTTATTGAAACCAAACATTAATTAAAAACAATCAACATTTCATCCATGGTCGGAACTGCATATTTTTAAACATCTAAGTTAGACAAATATTTCTTGAACTAAAGTCATTATTAAAAAATGTCTGGTCTAGGCACACCAATCTAAATCCTATCATCATCATAATAATAATAATAATCACCATCATCAAAAACAAGAAGAAAAAAATCATATGACAAAAAGTAGTATAAATTAAAAATATTTCATACAAACTGATTGAAACTGAACATATGTTTTTTGTTACTGTCCGGAAATATCTATATATTCTAAGTTAACTATGTTATGAATGAAATTGAGAAATGGTAACGTGCTTACATCAATATATTATTGAATTATTATTCTCCTTTCTCTTAATATTATCAAAATACTTTTGAATTCAACAAAACATTTTTCAAATTTACATAAATTACAAATTTCACATGATGATGATGTGGTGATAGCGGTGGTTGTGAATAAATGGGTTAATTATCACTAGTCATTAACTATATATCGTTTACAAGAAACTAACTGGTTCATCTAGGATATGACGTTTGATTTTGATAAATACCAATTCATAATACAATAGTTCTTTTAAAAAATAATAATAAATAGTCACATTTACTGACTTATACAACCAATATACATTTGTAATTTCACAAAGGAAGAAGTTAAAAACAACTAAATTGGATAACATTTTTTTTGTTTTTCGTTTTAATATATTTATGTATACGTCTAAGTCTGAAATAAGTTAGTGGGTGGTTGAATGTTGTCTAGTAAGCAACAAACTATATTTTTATGTATAATTGAATGAAAACATTTTATTGATAACTTCCTGGTATGATGATTACAAATTTTTTGTAAGACACCTTAGAAGGATTTCAAGACTATTTATATTAGCATTGTATCATATTCAGCCATCATGAATAGTTGTAGAATTCCATATCTTCTTAACTTCATTACATTGAAGCCATATCATAATTCGATAACTCTTTAGTTTGATGCATCTTTACATCGTGCTTTGACTCATCTACCTTACTCAGTACGCACTAAACAAAATAATTAAGGACTGATCGCTATAAGCTTTAGTTTAAGAGTGTTAGAATAAAAAAAGGTTAGCACACTACAATTCCCAGTTTAGAGTTAAGTTTTAGGAATATTAATTTTTATTTATTGATGATTTTGTGAACTTAATTCATTGCTTAAATAGCAAAATAACTTAATCGAACCTCAGTATTGTTTCAGCAGCTGTACATGTGAGGTGTAATGAATTAAAGTATTTGAACAAACATTTTTTGCATTAATTCACTACTGAGAGCAATAAAAGGAAATATAAATGGAGAACAAGGTTCCATACTTGACTACATGGATTTTCGCTATATATGGTTTTTTGGAGGCCTGCTTGAATATCTGGGCTACTTATTCCTTCCACTTCAATATTCCAACAAGTTATCTGTTTTTTTTCTGACACATCATTATGTCTATTAATCGCAAAACCTATTCAGGCGCGTTTATGAAAAGTTTACGACCTTTCACTGTACAACTTACAAGGTAATACAATCAGAGACATTGTGATGGCCGAAAATATGCATTGAAAAGAATGAATGTTATTCAGATGTCCATCCCTTATTTACTAACACCTAACTGACGATCACTCAATATTTATCGTCAGGATCGATTAAGAAATAAGAAAAGGGGCTAGTTAAAATACTTTGTGCTGAGAATTCTATATTATACTAAAAATAGAATACTGAATAAAGCCATCAATATATATATATATATATATATATATATATATATATATATATATTCGAATTATAACTGTTTCCATTCTATCACTGTTCAACGTTTCTTCACATCGAATCAATCTAAAATGAATCAATAGACAGAGTGAGATAGAAAGAAATAGAGTGAGAAATAGAGATCGACAGAGAGGGAGGGAAAGGTAGAGAGCCAGAAAAAGAGGAACTAGGATGCAGAAAAAGTAGCGAACCAAAACTAGTTTAAAGATACCCATTTGTTGAATAGAAAAAAGAATCGTGAGTACAAAGTGGGTTAGTTTCAATTTTTGGAAACAATCTACAGAAACAAGCAAACAAACAAGTAAATAGCGATACAATGACGCACGTAGAAAGTATTTTTTTTCTTTCCTTTTTTAAATAAAAATAAGTTTGCCATAACAATAATTGTTGTGAATAATGAACAAACAAATCAATAAGATATTAGTATTACATGGTTCCTACTTGTTCACTTATTTAATTCAATTTCCCTTATTATATTTACTAGAGAGAGAGAGAGAAAGAATGAATGAAACAGATAAGAAATCGATGTAACTATTGACAGGCGCTATCTATTCACAAATCAAAATTGTTAAACATCATTAAACAGTTATTACTATTATTTTTATTCCTACTATTACTGTGATATACACCGAAATCTTGCATATAGATAAGACTTATTCCAATTAAGTGAATCATTTTTTCCAATGAATATAATTACAAAGGAAACTGACAGGTAGAAAAACATAGAGCAATGTATTTGTGTGTCCTGAATTCCATTTATATATATATATATATATATATATATATATATATATATGATTCGTTATTAGTTTTTTTCTTCTTTCTGTTTCTATAATCCTCCTGATTACAGTTCATCTCAGTTTCAACATTTTATAATATCGTGCTGACCCTTTACTTTCCAATTATGATTCCCCTCTCTATCTTCATGACGAATATTCAAGACGTCGACAATAAAATTGTTACTAGTTTTCCTGATAAGAAAATAACGATTTAATACCCATGTTTATATCTGCCTCATTGTTATCATGTTTGATGGAATTTTATTATCACTATTGTTATAATTCTTATCATCTTGAAAAATAAGTATGTATTTGCGATTGTACAGTTTTGAAAATGAATACTCAGAAAATAAAACTCTTCACTGAATCAGTTGTTCTTAGTTTACATCTCAATGGGCATATTCCGTTTACTTAAAACAAATTTTTATTTAGTTATCAATCACTATGAGCATCTCTGTTTTACAAGGAGTTATTAACAAAACACTGTCAATCAAGTAATTAATTAAAAATCGTTTATTGGTCAGATGAATAATGATAACATAGTTTTTATTTTTCTTGAAAAATAATAATTTTCTAAAATACAGAATGATTTATCAAACAAAATTATTTATTTCAACTTACTTTATATAAATCAACCAAAAAATCACCTGTCTTCTCTAAATAGGATTGATTTACACCGGGATGATCAGCATCATGTAAAGCGGTTGCCAATAGACTAGCGAAAATTTCTGTCGGACTTAAAATGGTCAGAAGCTAAAGACATAAAAAGATTTGAAGAGAATAGAGTTGTTTAATTTTTTATTCCTTTTATCTTTTATAGGATGACGGCTTTATTAACATCAAAACGTGTTAAAAAGGTGTAATGTCAAATATAAATAGTGGTAAGTGAAATTTTAGTACAGAAGGTTTATGAAAGTTGTTTAATTTATCATTTAAATCATAGAATGATTTTAGTTGATGAATTAGCAGGAAACAGACAGCATAAAACATATATTATGTTCCATTATGAAATTTTTCAGCAATATCACCTACCACAGTGAAGTAATTAACTTTGACAGAAATTCGTTGAGATTTAGTGTGAAGCCGTGATTGCTGGAGTTCAGTCATATTAGATATAAGATTCAATGAATGACTATTACAGAATATTGCGAAATGAGGTTAGCAATGTGAACCAATCTATCCCGACTGAATGATTCTATAGATGATGAGCTCAGCATATTACATATTGATTCTAAGTCCGGTCTTCGATGAAGCAATGAGTGACCACTTTTCATAAGTCGCATTATAGAGAGACCGGTGTACAGTACTTCCTGAATTTCACTAGTTTTCTAGTTAAACTCACTTTGCAATGTAATCCTTTAAAAGTAACTATATGATTTAGAAATCTTTTTTAAAAAAGGCAGTAAAATATCAAGTTTTTGCTAGCGAATTTATCTCGAACCAGCATAAGATAGGGAATCATTCAAAATGAACCCAAGAAACACTTGTTTCATAGCAGTTTGATGCTCTTCACTGCTCACGTACAACACCAAAATAGGACTGAACTTTGAAAGTGTGGTGAATACCATGAAGAATCCTTATATAATGTTACACTTATGTGTATTCCAATCATGTTTATTCTTATAGATAATACTGAATTATCAGTAATAAACTATTGAGTACACTTATTCAATTCCTAATTTACTAGTAAAGCTGTACAACATATATACGATTTAAGATTATTAAAACTTTCTGAAAAACCTAGTGCAAGATCTGTTGTTTGGTTAAATAAGTCTTCAAATTAGACTTGTGTATAAAGTATGTTTACATTTAGATAAGAGATGAAAATATTTGAGACTTAAAAATTATATTTCCATTTGAGTGCATATACTATGGTTTATTGATGATTAATTGTATATACATTTTTCTGGATGATTCCGTTGGTTTTAGAAACTCTGATAATTTTATATTTAGAGTGTAGGATTTACTTTAGATTACTATAGTAGTATAAACCATCAGTTATTCAAATAAAAAACGATTAGTATACAACCATTTATTGACAAACCTCTTACATGCACATTTAACTGGGATTATTGTCTTAAGTTCTCAAATACAAAATTACACAAAGTGCATATACTTGTAAATTGTTTTTTTAGAAAACTGAATTTACTCAGTGATAAACAAATGTTATAAACAGTACATGCTTGAAGGAAACATGATACGTCTTGTCAACTTGTTTCAAAACAATTGTTAATCACTTAAAATAATATTATACAATTAAATAATGAATTATTTGACAATCATAGGTACATCTAGATGACAAGTCCTAAATCGAACGAAACATATGTCCTGAATTTCACTACTAGCCACCATCTTTACTAATAATTATTAGATAATTGTTTACTATTTAAAATGAATTGCATCGTATTTTTAAATAAATTCTTATTTTCAGAAGAGGTTTTGTGGAGATTTTTAGAAATTTTAATAGTTCCCCACTAATGACTGACTTCAAGAGGCATTTCCTGGAGTTTCTAGTGGGAAGCCGTGACCACTGGAGTTCAATCAGGTCTGTTGTGAGATATCAACTCACTGAAGACAATGGTGTACGGTGGAGCAATTTCATGGATTGGTTGAAGTTAGACATTAACACCGCTGGATGCCAGCCGGCTCAGTGGTCTGATGGTTAGACACTCGCGCGCGAGACTGGTAGGTCCTGAGTTCGAATCTCGCAGGGGGCGGGATCGTGGATGCGCACTATTGAGGTGTTCCACATTAGGACGAAACGGCCATCCAGTGCTTCCAGGGTTCCCATGGTGGTCTAGCTTCAATTGACTCATGATTTCAACTATTGGAATTTTTATTTGTAATTGTATAGACAAATTTTAAGATTAATTAGATTGAGTTAATTAGTTACTGGCTTTGTAAAATCTTATTGTCGTTTAAAACGTTGCTAATGAAATAAAAGTTTTCTTCACCAGATAGTTACTATTACTTTTTTTATTAGTGATGCATTGGGTGTTTTTAAGTTACTTCAATGATCCATTATTTTAATATGTTATAATTTTCTAATTTAAGACTAATAATATTTAAAAAGTTTTTCAATAATTTATAGCCGTATTTACTACATAATAAAAGTGAAAAAGAACGACTTTTGTATTGGTTTATAGCTGTGAAATATCTACTTTAAAAGTAGAAAACGTGAGTAGGCATAGCTTGAGTTTTGTGGAACGATCGAGAGGGAGATGTTGAGGTTAAGCGTGAGGTACTAGGGAAAAGTGACAAATTAGTGAATGAACATAAAAAATCCTCGCTGACTGAAATGTTTAGGATGCGTGTTAAGTTTGCCTACATATCTTGAGATGATATTTGCTGATTTAAGAGTGGGCTGGAGGAAAGCTAAAAGTGGCCGAATAAAAACAAGGCATTAGTTTACTAAGGCATCGACTGTCGGTCTGGATCGTTTTTGTGAATACAAAATATCTGGTCAAAGTCTGTCAGTTTATTGTAATCAGCGGTAGATGACTTCGAGTAACATGGCTTAGAATCGTTCACAATAGTGCTGATACTTTCACTTTATTTATCTCTCGTTCTTGAACCCCAGTATTTCTTCACACATACCTTTCATTTCTGTTTTTTCGAACCATATTATCATTATAATTAGTATCATCTTATTTCTATTTCTCGCTATTATTCTTGATAACCCGAACTCATCATGCCTAATTAATATGGCAAATTATGTCAACACACATCCGAATCAGCCTTAATGGTGGTATTAATTAACCGACTGAAAATGTTCGCCACACCGGAGTAAACCTTATCTCAATCATTTTAACTACTTAGCTGAATTGTTGCAGGAATCATGCTGCGTGATGATAGTCTTTATCATAGAAAGAAATCAGTTGAGGATTATGTAAAGCAAAATAATGTTGAAACGCTGTCTTGTTTTAGTTTGACTTGACACACGAGAGCGAACTGATCATCATATTTGACAGTAAGATACTATTTAACGATTGAATCAATCTTTTCAGTTCACATCTTCCAATGTCAATACATTTAAGAAATAATATAGGTATTTCAAAAATGCCGTCAGCATAAATGTTTAAATTAGGAATTGATTTACTACACAATTTCAGAAAAACTTGAAGAATTTTACTTCTAAATCAATCACCAATAAGAACATGACTGTTAGTGACATTATTATTCATTCAGGTTTTAAATCACTGACTGATCTTGGTAAAACATCCCTTAAAAACCAGGATACCCTAAAAGGCTGTTTGCTTTTAGTTTCGGTCCCCCCAACAGTGTACATTCACAACCCAACTGAGGATTGAACCCGGAATCTTTAAACCTAGTGACGAGTACTTAACATTTGGACCTCTGAGTCGATATATAAGGGTCTACATTTCTAACTTGAGTTGATTTGTGATCATTATTTAATTAGACAGTCTATAAAATTTATTATTTATTTTCACAGATTTTCAATTAGGAACTGATCTAAATTAGACCATCAATGAGAACCCGTAAGAATCGTAGGGCTGTTTCCTTAGGTATTGACTCTCTCAACAGTGGACATCCTCTACACCCGCATCTGGAAGTCAAACCCAGAATCTTTGACCATCAAAGCTTGTTTACATACTACGGATGGTATACAGCTAATAATAATCCCATTCCATCAAGTGAATTTATGCTATAATGTCTAGTGTGTTATCTTTCTTCGTGTACAATTATAGTTAAGTCACAGAGCCTAAAAATCTTCAATTAATCACTGACATCAAACAGTAAAAATATCATAGCTAATAAATTTTGTATAAAATCTCTGTCCCATTCACCCATTTCTAATCACACTTTAGGTATAAGACTTGGAAAAAAAGAAGCAACTCAATCATATTTGATGTACTGAAGACAATATAAATCTATATCTATAAATAGAGAAAACTAAAAGAAAGAAACTGGATTTTCATAAAGAAAAGTCATAATGTAATTTGCTAATATGATATTGGATAAATAAATGAATAAATGAATGGACAAATGGATAAATACATAAAGGTAAATTAATAGTTGGAAAAATTTTGCCTAAGGGTTAAATACTTCCATAAATTATAAAAGTTGAATTGGAAAATGAAACATTCTTTCATTTTGTTCAAGAAGAAGACCCATGAGAAATGATTAATATTGAGAACAGCATAAAGACAGAAATAATAAATTTAACATAACTAATTGAAAAAAATATATCTTATTTAACAGGACTTATTTATTTCAGATTATATAATACTAGAATAAGAAAGATTAGATCAGCGAAGAGTTCTCTTTTCGACGAATTCATTTTCAGAGCTGTGCAATATCAAATATATATATATATTTTTTTCCAGGATGATAATAATAATGATAATAAACTTGTTATACATGGTGACAGTGAGGTTAAATAAACAAAGGTATTAAAGGTATTACTAGAATAGTTCACTGACAAAATAGCTTGTTATAACATTGAAAAACATACGTTTGAAACCTACATGAGAATTGTTAGTTGCAACATAACTTATTAATAAATATCAACTTGTGTAAAACTCATGCACAATTAATTCTGCCTGATCGGTTATCATTATCTATTTATGAAATCTTTTTATATTTTTAATTAAAAATATAAGAGGAATCTTCGATTTAATGCTTTTTAGAGAAATGTAGATGAGTTTTATTTATACAACAAAATAAAATGTTCAATATAGAATTGTGGAGATTGTTGAATTTCATTGAAATCATGAACAGATCAATCTTAT